AATTAGTTGGCCTGGTAGAATTGAGCTCGGATGCGGTGTTTCCCATCTTAAGTACAAATGTTGAGGTCGATTGATACGTCAGCTGGTTTTGAATAATTATCGACTCATATCTCCGGCATTCTGAGTGGTAATATGTTCATCTCGACTGTGGTCGATCACCTCGGACTGCGGACGGTTGTCGGTACGATTGATTGATTTGGACGGCTAAGTGGTTGGCTCGGTTGCGATTTGGGGATCCGTCAGTGAACGATTGTCATCTCTCGGCCCCTCATTTTTCATTCTTTTCTTTTTTCTTTTTTTTTATATTTAATATATCTCTCTTTTTTTGTATATATATGTATACGTGTATATATTTATTTTGACGTATATGTATATATATATATATATGTATATATTTAAAGTGAAATTGAGAGAGGGATTACCTTGGCCGGTGCAGGGCGTTGGGTTAAGAATATTATCTTTGGAGATGTCAGCTCCCCTTTTGCTCATGTCCCTTCCGAGCTCCTCGACTTTGCGATTTTTGTTGCTTGACTCGAACTAATTCTATTTACTCTATCTATTACAATATTTTTGGGGCCCAATATTTTTACAATTATATAGTTTCACAAACCTACACATTCATCACTAGGCCCCTCAAAATCATTATACAAACCTACATATTCCTATTATTGTATAAAGTTTCAAAGGCCCATTTATTTACTTAACGGGTTGAATTGATTTTCACTACAAGGCACATTTGTTCCCAATTATTTCTTCAAGCCATCAGTTGCGTAAAGCAAAGAAAAGGGTAAAAATCTGGTTCCACCTCCACAAACATATCATCGGAAATAACTTACAGTGCGGCGGCAGATTTGGAGCCTGAGCTCTCAGATCGGGTTGATTTGGAGGGCCGGTTGTTGTAAGATCGAGCTCGGCATCTGAATCTAAGGGTAACGGCGGCAATTCAACGTTGAATCCGAGGTCTGCTGCGATTCGGCGACGGGGAGGCTTGATGTTCGAGATCGACGTCTGAAGGGAATTCTGGCCCCGGCTTTGAGGTCGACCACTTTCGGTTCGTGGGCGGTTGCCTGTTCAGGCTGTGGATGATATTCGGTTCGGCACTCGGGTGGCTTTCGGTTCGTGGGTAGTTGTCCGTTTGGCCCATGGATGGTTATCGGTTCGGCCCGCGACTGACTTTCCGTTCGGCCCGCGAACGGTTGTCGGTTCGGTTCGACGATGGAGGTTCGGCCCGACTGGGGGTTGTGACCGAGTTCGGTCGTGGAGGGACGTGGACCGGATGTAAGATGGAGTTCCTGTTCGGTGACGGAGGCTCGAATCGGTTGTGATGTGAAATTTGAGTTCGGCCCGGCTATAACGGGGTATCCGAGCGGGTCGTCCTTTTTGTGAGAAGAAGATGGTGACGTGGTGAATTTGTGTCCAAGGGAAGTATGTTATCCTTTCGCTTGACTTCTGCAACTCTTATCTTTTTTTTTCTTTTTTTTTTTACAACCTCAAATGTAAATGATAAATATACTTATACAAAAACTGAAGGCACGCATGGTCGCAATTCATCCTATTTTATTTCCTTTGACCTGGAACTTTTAAGCTTGCCCAAATCTTTGTTCTTTCTTTCCTTTTTTTTTTTTAGACAAGGATCAAGTATATGATATGTGTATACTTACAGATATATTTTCGTGAAAAAACGGGATGAATAACTCCGAAAAAAAGTGGAGTAAAAATGTTGAGTTTTGTTGAGCGGTTGGAGAATTCATCTTCCGGTAGAGATGTAGCTGCTTTTTAGCCCTCCTTCTAGCGCCGATTGTTGATGCTCAAAAATGTCAGCAACAAGGGGTGAACCGTATACTAAATTGTATACTCCGTTCAATCTGCATGAATAGATTGCGTGTCAAATATACGGGTTGGATTCCTCTTCTATTCGTGACTTTCGGTGTGAAGAATACATATATTTAACTGTACGAAAGGCAAGAAAAACAAAAGATGAAGAAGATGAAGTTTTTTTATTGATAATGCTCTTTGGGAAAAAATAATGCCTCTCCCCCTTACGAGCTTGCTTCCTTTTTATCATATCCCTTTTGGGAGATTTTATTAGATAGTGTGAGATCCTCTTGGATCCTCATGGATCCTCAAGTACATATACACATCACATCACATCACAATATATGGATATTAATTAATATGGAATAACACCAATGATATTTTAATGTGTTGTATTTTTATTTAGTCGTAGCCAAATTGGGTACCAACATGTGCTCAGATACATCAATGTCACCAATCAGCATAAAATAAAACAAGAAATCCAATTCTTCTTGACACAAGGCTCTGTTGTTAATGTACACTTATTTAAACAAAGATTATCAACCAAACATTTTTAGAAGGTAATCAATGACCATTATGTTTTTAAGAATGTACATGCTTCTCTTACAATTACCTATCATGGATTAGGGATTCAAACAACTTTGTACAAGCAGAAATCAAGCAATTCATAGATTCAGATACCATGAGTAGTACAAACCTGGAGCACTTCATTGTATTACTTCTGGACACAGGATATTAGAAAAAAAAAAGTCTTAAGCTGCTTCAGATAGCATCAAAGAAGAGAACAGTAAGGAAGCACACAAGGTATAACTACACAAAACATGGCTTATAACAACTCACCTACCTCAAACCAAAACAAAAACCAGCATTCAAACTTTGTACTACACAGCTATTCATTTCAAAACTGTTATTAACTCTTACCAAGCATGCACATAAGGAAGCACAAAAGAAAAACGCAAAAAACAAAGCACTGAAAAGAACATCCTACACTTTGCTCTTCAGCTCTATTTAAAATTTACAACTTCAATCATGCTTCTAAACTGAAACATAGACCCAATAACTCTGGAAAAACATGTAGCAAGTTCACAACAAAATCAAACCAAAACCACATAAAAGTTTTCTTTTTCTGTTTTATCTTGAAATGTAACTAATCTCAGCATGTTCACAAGTAATTTAGGGTCCATAAATCTAAATTCTGAGCACATTCTCAACATCAAACCACACAATTCAGCAGAAAAACATTTCAATGAGTTTAACAGTCCACAAAACATCTTCATAGGCAAAAAAGCACAAAACATTCTTTCTTTTACACGGACTTCCTAACAGATAACAACGGTTATCACCATTGTACTATGAATTTTAAGCCTTATAAACCATAAAATTCAGCATGTAAACTCAATTAACAGAGTCGCAAACATAATATCAAAACCGTGACAAAACAGCAACAAAATGCTAAGAAGCTATTTACCTTGACCTGGCACGGAGAAGACTGGGGAGAGATTGGCGACTGGGGTTGGAAAAAAAAATTACAAACAAATTTCGAGTCAAAGGAACGGAATTATTCAAAGGACAAAATTAGGGCAAAATTGAAATGAAGAAGGTTAATATATCGATTTCAAGCTCACCCTTAGTCCGGTCCCGACGGAGAATCAGAATCTTGCAGCTTCACGAAATGTCGTAGTCTTATCTGCAGAAATTAGGGCAAAATGCTCGATATGAAAATTTGTGCCACGAATCGTCCGAAGAACAGATAGTAATTAACAAAACTGAAAATGGAGTAGGTTAAAATGGCGACTAGTCTGCTCACCTGTAAGCCCAACGGAGAAGACGAAGCACAGCCTTCTCAACAATGGCGTCCCAAATATACGAGAGGAAACTAGGGCAAAATTTCAATGGCCGACTTTTTCCCTTTTAAATGGTATGAAAATGTAAATTGAGGCAAATGGAAGGGTATTCTCGTATTTTGGCTTCACTTTTTGAGGGTAGGATGGGAAAGATAAAATCGGGACAATTTTATCACGCGGGAGGGGCCGGGTTTTTTATCTGAAATTGGCGGATCCGCGTTTGACACGTAGGCGCCATGTCACTCAAATCCCGTCCCAATCCGCGGAAGTAAATGTAGGATAACGCGGATTAATTGCTTTATTCTGTCCCTATCCCCCAAAGTAAACGACCCCTAAGAGGATAATTGATGATTATAAGTATGTAATTTGATGATCTATAATTTTTATAGACAAATATTTATGAATAGCTTATTTTAAACTTCAAGTTTATGCTTAATGCGTGTGTAATAAAAACAAAATGACCCTTCTTTTTATTTCATAAGCTAATGTATGGAATTGAAAATATCGAACTGCAGTGAAACCGATAAAACAGAACCTTTTATTCGATTAAATCAAACCGACCTTAGCTCAGTTGGTAGAGCGGAGGACTGTAGTTGTCAATGCTGAAATCCTTAGGTCGCTGGTTCGAATCCGGCAGGTCGGAAATTTTTTATTTTGCTTTTCAGAATATTTTTAAATTGCTTTTCATCTCGTTTTTTTTTTTTTAAAAAAAAAAATTATCTCAGTCTTGTAAATGAAATTCCAATTCGTACATTTCTCTTGCATTTTTATATTGTTGTATAACAATTTGCTGGGTTATACACATAATGCAGGATCAACAAGAATTCCAATTCTACTCGAGTCTCGCTATAGCTCTTACAATTTATAGCGTCAACAACAAAATTGTACAAGTGGTCAAAACTTGAACATCCCTTTTCTCTTGCAGAGAAAACAAACCAGGCGCAAAATTCTCTCTCCCTCTCTCTTTGCTACTTACCGCACCCCTTTTGGCCGGAGGCTGACGCCAACGTTTTTGCTCTGATAGCCGAAGACTAGAGTTGGAGAATTTAAGTTCAGAGAAGGTTGAAGATGAAAATCACACTCAAAACGAGAAAATAGTAACTCATAATTTGGTTATTATGTCTTAACAAAATCATTCCCAAGCAAATCCAAAGTAGCAGACAACAATTGAACTGCCACAATTATGTACACACAAAATACGACAGCCAAGTTAATGTAGACCTTTCGAGTTTGTTCTCCTCCAATTGTCAAAGGTCGGCACACGAGCAATTGTTGTTCTGCATTCCATCTCATATTTCTTAATATCTTATCATACCACAAAACAGAAGAACTGCACGAGCCTCAACCGATTAATTTTCTTAGTCTTTTCTCAGCTAGACTCGCCGCTTTGTTCTGTGGCTCCAAAACAAGTGCATGCCTGAAATCTGCCACTCAACAAAAAACGTATCAGAAAATGAAGAAAACAGAAAATAGCCACAATAGTACAGCTAAACCGCACAAAGGTGAAGCCCATCAATAGCTCTGTCAATCAAATGATGGCATACGACTAATCGTGCAGCACAGACCATTATATAGTTTAATGGGATGAAATGTTTTTCATGCAGCATACTTTATGGGCGCCAGAACAATATTATTTAATCTATCTCCACAGAGAGTACCAACAAGTTCTAAATTAATTATATAGGGATTTCATTCAATAAAAAAGGACAATTAAGTGGCTTCTCAACCTTGAAGGGCCTCTCTGTAGAGCATCAGTGATTCTCTTGCAGTCCCTCGTCTCAGATAGGCCTTGACATTCTACACAGAAGAAAATAACCAAAAAAATAACATACAACGTGTATCAATTGGACAATATAGGCTACAATGGATCACCCTTATGAATATAACTGGACTCAATAATGAACTAGCATACTGGAGAATAAAAAAACCAAAATCCAAAGACAAACTATTTGCAAGAAATAAAAAGTAACAAGAATTTCTTACCTTCTTATCCAAAGACATCGCTATAGTGCAATCCTCTTCAGCTTCTTGGAAGCTGTACAAGAAGCTATTTGTTAGAAGAGTAGCTACCTATCGACATTGATTTCCAACGACTATAAAAGAATACACAATGTATCTTACCAAGCCAACTCCAAGTAAGCAGCTGCACGATTGCAATAGTAGGTTGAATTGTTCCCATTCAATTTTATCGCCTCTGTGTAGTAAGTTACAGCCTTATTCCACCGTTTACCTTTATAAGCAGCATTTCCCTGTAGAACATTATAACTTTTCAAAAAAACAATAAGTTGCATCATGCATAGCAAGAAAGAGTTTTTAGAACAAACCTATAAATTTCAGAGGAAAAAAAAAGGGAATTGCCAGAAAAGACAGGCAGTTGTCATATACCTAAATTATATATTAAATGGAAAAATTAAAATTAAAATTCAAAAACATAATAGACTGAAGAGATTGTGTCTCAATAAACCACCTTTGTCAGGTACATAGCAAACTTAAGTTCCACCGTATTTCCATAATTTATAATACACAAACATATCTCACACTTAAAAGGAGATCTTTAGAATAAGTAACACTGACATTACAGTAAACCATAACTAGAGCTTAAATGTATATTATATGGTTTCATGTAACACAAACAATTAGGTGCTAAAATTGGAAGTAGAAGATTTTGGATAAAAACTAATCGATCTGTTTCCCACTAAACCCTCCCAATAAACATTAATCATATAATTGATTTTCAACTTAATCTCCACTTCCTTTTTTTCAATACGCAAATGGCTTAAAAAAGAAGGGAAACAAATAAAAATGACGATTTCAGAAAAGCAGAATAAACAATGACAGGACGAATAACAAATGATAAATCAAGCAGAAATTCAATAAAAAAAATTGAACCTTTTCTTTCAGAAGTTCAGCTTCATCCATATTTCCATTGATATATGGTAACTTAGACGAACTAGAAATAACGGTTACTGCTTCTTGAAGAGAAGGATATGTATCAAGAACAGTATCAAGTAGGAACTTATCAGCTCCATGAGATGCAATGAATGATATCGAAACTGGAGAGCCTTCATATTCTCCAAATGGAATGGTGACCTGGACAAAAAGACATTTAACTATTGTAGTAGAAGAGCCAAATAGATAAATAGTAGTTTTAAACTTCTCATCACAAAGATTTGATGTATGGCAAGGTGTAATAAACCAGCTGAAACCATGGGTCATGGACTACCTGGCAGCCTCCAGACATAGTTGCAATGCTCAATAAAGCATAGATCCTGTCATGGAACTCTGGAGATAAGCTTTTTGTTGAGTTCAACTTGGGTGGAGGATCAGCTACTGTTGGAATCACCAATATCCCATCATCCTTGAAAGATGAAAGCAGAAAATTAAAACCAAAAGAATGAAACAGAGAAGCTAAAATGAACAGATATCGGTTCCCTTAACAATGAAAACAGCATAAGGTGTCAAGGTCTTCTACCAACTTCACATATATAACTTACATAGATAAGAGAGAGAAACAACTCACCCAGAAAAACTGAAATAATAAAAAGAACTGAACAGAGAAACCTAAAAAAAAAAAAAA